GGGTTGATTTGGTTAATAACTAAGAAAAACATTAAAACATAATAACTAACCAAAAACCTTAAAATTAGTGGTTATGATTAGTGTTACATAGGGAATTTTGCTTAGTTACTATGTTTTAATTTGTTTTTTGGTTATATTTACCAATTTTTCAAAAAAGAAATGTAATCATTTATTGTGGGGCCGAAAAAAATCAGAAGAATATTTTCTCTCTATAAGTTCACCGGTCACAGCCTTTAGATGATTTTTGTGGGTCTATGAGTGAAATGACAACAAGCTGCATATACCATAGAAAGACATTCATCTTGACGATTTCTTTTAAAAAAAAAGAATCAATAAATTATTTATTCAAGCGGTTTGTCAAAAAGAAAGTTACTCCCTTTATCTCTTATTAAAATAAATTATAAAAACAAAGGAAAAAAAACTAAAACTCAAGATCCCAAATGCATCTACCTCGTTTAGATATAAATAACTCTAGTTATGAACTTAGAATTAAAAAAAAAAAACATTACTAATCAAGATTAGTCCACTTGGTTACTCTAATTTTTGTCAAGATCAATGGTAGTGAAACCTTCTTCACAAGAGAAACGCGATTGCATTCGCGTATCTCCAACCTTCTGATGCTCAACAGGCAACTTATAACTATCGTCCATATCTAGTGACTCCCCTTGCTGCTGATGAACCACAAGCACCGAGAAATGAAAATCTGGCGACGTCAACATATCTCCGATCACACCTAACTCAGGGCACTCACTCCAGTCCGTAAGTCCGTACAAGACCGCAGACTCTAAGTCATGGTCTCGACCCACTAACACCATGTCATAGGCCTCTCCAAGTGAGCTAATCACTTGCGTGGTCTCCACGCCATCTCTCACTATCTCCTCTACGTAATGCACTTTCCCTTTGTTCGCTGCGTGGCTCTTGAAATCGTTTACAAGATGGAACTCGCACATGTCACTGTAATCCTCGTCCTGAAGAGAGCTCTTGTGACGGAAATGTATCATTGTGACGTTAAGCTCTGGTTTTTCAGCCATCCTCAGACATAACGCGAGGGCCTCCTTGTCGTCTCGGCCTCCGATGAAGAGCACCGCCACGTTCTGCCACGTATTGGTCATCAGGACGGAGCGACGTCCCTCGGTCTCCCCTCTGTCGATGAATATCGCGACCGAACAAGGTGCCGCGTCCAACACGTTAAGGTTTATGTTCCGGACCGCGGCATTGACATCTCCGACCATCCCGTCGATCGCGTACTGCTTGTGGAAGGGAACCACGATCAACGTCGCCTTCTTGTCGAGGGCGAGCGTGCAAACGTCGTTGTTTATACTCGAGAACGGCGAAGCAGCGGTGAAGTGTTGCGCCATGAGAGTCCCCTGCGGTGTAACGCAACG